AAAACATGAGATATAGTCTCAATTCAATGTACTACTGAATTAAAAAGACAAATAGTTGTCTCTCAGATAAATAAGAAAAATAAGAATGATTTAGCAGATGTAATAAGTCCCTTATTACAATCGACTTCAACAAAAGGTGGGGGGAGTCAGGGATGCTGACCCCTTAACAGTTGAAAATGCAGGTGTATTTTTTGACTCCCCTAAACTTAACTACAGTCATCCTGTAACTGGGTAGTTCCCAGGAAAAGGGGAGTTTCCAGGTTCCCTGTCCCACCCAAAGGAGGGTGGAGCTGAGCACAGAGAAGCCAGAGAGGAGACTGGGGAAGGAAGGGAGCAGGATGGAGAGCCAGAGACCTGAGGAGGCACAGGGGCAGGGAGACTGAGGAGGCTGTGCTTGGACTGGACTGGTTGAAACAGATGTGGGTGAGAGGCCTGAGGGGAGGTTACCAATGGTAGCTTTTATCTTGGATTTGATTTTGCTCTTTTCCTCCAGACTTGTCTGGCTGTTTCTGACCCTTTTCTAAGGGTCCCCTCCAGAAGGTGCTTTAGACTTATGGCGGGCTTTAGGGCCTTTCTTTGGGCCAATCCTGTTTGGCTGGGCATTTACCCATGAGGGGGTGGGTAACTTTGGGTGCCTGATTTAAAAACTATGTCTTCTGCCTGACTCACTACTTATATTAAAGTTCTTTCCATTAAAAGTCTTATATGTTTTACCTGGATGTGGCGAATGGCAAAATCTATTTAGAACAGACAGGTTTGGAGGTTCTGGGGTGCCCCTCTCCCTGCCCTGTAACAATTCCTTTGTATTCTAGGGAAGTGCTGATTCTGGGCCCACCTCCCCCTCCCTCTCGTTCTCCCTCCCTCCACTTCCTCTTCCTCTCCCCCACACTCTCTTGGGTATTTGAATTAGTGAATATGGAACATTCATATAGAAAAAAAAATTCTTGTATACGAGGACCTGCAAACTTCAAACCCATGTTGCTTAATACTCAAATACTGATTCTCTCCAATGATGTAAATTTATGCTTCTTCCTGGCTGGTATGAAATATTTAAGACTAACCATCTCCTTTGAGATGACTGGTTAATCATGTGGGTAACAAAACATAAGGTTAAACTCCTGTTTTGTACCAATATCCAAATGTATTGTAGATAGACTGAATGTCTAAAAATAAAGTCATAAAATTATCAGAAGAAAATGCCTGTGAATATTTATAGAATCAAGGGTAGGAGGTTGAGGGGTGGGCAGAGTTTCAAAATATCACCAATGGTGGAAAATATAAGGCAAAGATGGATAGGCCATAACACATAAAAATAAGCATTATATTCCCATTCACATGTAACAAGCCAACTGGTAGAGCTGAGTTTTGATGAAAATCAGTAGAGAGACAATAATGATTTCTATGAAAAATGGGCAAAGTTGTAAATAAATTAAAAGAACAAAATTTTCTCTAATCACAGAATGCACATTAAAACGAGATGGCCATTTTTTACATACCCAATTAAAACAACAAAAAAAAATGAGGTGAGACGTATCGCTAAAAGCTTGTTCACACTTAAAGACAGCAATTTTTCTTTTAGGATTATCTTCAGAGTTTCGAGAAATCATCCAAAAAATTGTAGATATGCAAAGTGATTTAATTATAAAGATATTCCTTATGGCTTTGTATATAATGCAAAATTGGAAATAGTAGGGTTGATTAAATTATGGCATTTAAACACTAATATTACATGGCCATTAAAACACCATTCTTATTAGTAATACTGAAAAATGTATCACACATGGTTGAATTTAGAAAGCGGTTTACCAGTTTATCTATAATATAATCTATGTTTTTCAGTAAGTCACAATTTCATTTAGCATGCTTTCTATAGCGAATGTATTTCCTCTTTAGTAAGAAATGTTTTTCTATGAAGGCCCCCCCAAATTACATTATCTCCTGTTCTAATGCTGTGTCCCACAAGAAAACGTCTGATAACCAACCTCTTTTTCCTAGGTATCTCCGTAACAGAAAAGGTGGTCCCTGTTCTGTTCACTTCTGCAGAAGTGAACATTCTTACAAAATGTTACCTCCCATGGCAGATTTCTGCTGAAACCTAAAACATGGAAAGAAAATTAGAAAGTATGAAAGGATGGGAACAAAGTGGTTGAAAGGGAAGAAAAGAATGCTTGGAGTGAAGTATGACGATCACTGGCCTGGAAAGAACTAAGGTATGGTCAAACATTTTGCAAACCCTTCTAAAAATCTGAGTCCTGAATGATGAAAAGGAGTAAAAGGGCAACAGTCACTGTATGGAATTATAGACAAAGGAGGTGGTTAAGAAAATCTATAGCACACCAATCGCTAGACAAAATGGTTAGCCTCTGTTTCAACTAATTACAAATCCCAATGAACTGGTAGAAAAGAGCTTATTTTGAAAGACAATCTCCTGGGTTGTGCCCAGAATAGCTAGCTTTCTACTGACTGACTTGTCCTCAAAATACATCCTACCACATATTCCTAGACTTGATTTATTACAGTGCTCTTCCTGAGTTAAGTTACTGATGTTTGGCTTAAAACCAGACTTAAATGCCCATTACTATCAATGAATACACCCATGAACAAAGATTATTTTCAAAGGTCTCAGTGAACAAAATCCTTACCAAGAGCTTAAATAATACTCTGATTTGGGGGAGAACTGCTTAAAAGGTTCAAGGCGTGGAAGATACTCTTGAAAACTAGAGCTAGCCTGCAGGTGCTGAAAGCTGGCATGCAAAAGGAGGGAAGATCTCATGCCAGTGTGGACTGAGCTGCCAGGACAAGTTTCTGCATTCTGAATGTAAGTAATTTAAGTCATATTAGTAATTTACTGATCCCTTGAGTATGCCTGGTAACATTAATAATTTGGTGTAAACTGTTTAAACAATCATGTAAAAGTAAAAACTATCATTATCTTTTTTGAAGATAGTTCACTTTATATGGAAAAATAAACCTGGATTTCCTACCTCATACCATATGTTCCAGAAATGAAAGTTCTCATTGTGAAAATACAACTGTAAAAGCAAGCAGAAGAAAATGTTGAATATTGTTATATGAAACAGAACAGGGAGACAATACAGAATCCAATTGGTCGTTTCAGTTAAATCTTACTCACAAAAATGGAGGGCGAGTAGGATTTGGCCTGCCAGCTGCAGGTGGGCTACCCCTAGAAGACAAGAAATAGCTGCGGCTCCTTAAGAAAATTTAGGACACTCAATGGCAAAATGGACAAAGGATACAGATAAGCAACTGGCAGAATGAAAACCCAAAATGGCGAGACAAGTATATGGATGCACAAGTATATGGATATGATTGATGCTGATGAAAAGGAACTGCTATTGTACACCCACATTATTTTTCAGCATTGCAGCCAGGTAATTCAGGTGGATGTAAGGGTGTGGGGAAACATGGACTCCTCATGTCTTGCCTTGAGAGGGTCAGTTACAGAGTCATTCTGGAGAGCGATCTGGCAGTGTAAAATGAAATCAAGCCTATTCCTTGCTCCAAATAAAGAAGGGCTCTCTGGTAAAGGATGGTAGGTGACCTAGTATCACATGTACATTCTCTTTATTTTGTAACTGGAGACAATATACATCTCTATTTCTCACAGCTTCCTGAGGACTAACAGACTGTCCTTAGTCTAGAGATCAGCTGGTATAAAGTACTTTCTACTAATGTCTTTTAGACATGAAGAAAATCTTGATATACTTAAGCATCTAACTCTTACAGTTTAGAGCTTCCTATCTTTAAGAGAATTGGCTTTATGATGCCTGATCAATTTAAGATAAAGTGAAGTTTATATTTTATATAACAGAACCAATTACAGGATACTATTACTCTTAAATCCATTTTCCTGCTTCTGCAGTATCAGCAGCACTTCAACAGAAAAGTTTGAGAAGGATTTAAAAAGGGAAATTGTTGAATATCCATCAATTTTTAACTAAATAAAACTGAGATGTAAGGGAATTTTTTCTTTCCTTAATGGAAAATTAAATTACATAATATAACCTGCTTGGTAAAGAACCACAATTTCCTTTAGTCATTTTCATTTCTACCTCCACCCTGACCAGACCCTATTTTAGCTTAGATTTTGAAATAGAGGTTTCCTTTCATTGAATTCATTTGTCAGGGTCTGATAAAATATACAATGGATTATTCAAATCTGTATAGCCTAAACAGCAAGGGAACTTGCAAATGCACTGATTAAAAAAGGTTTATTGTTTCAGAGAAAGTATATCCACATGCTTTACCATTAAAAAAAATTGTTATTCAACTCTAAGCCAGTGCTGAAAACCACTTAAAAGTCTTGAAAATAACTGAACCATTTTTTCCTTTCCAGTCTTTAATATATGTTCATTTACGTAAAAGGTTAAGCAAAGCATATGTACACTATTATTTGAAGTCATCAAAAGAAAGATAGTTTATCTTTATGGTGTTCAATTATGTCCCAATAAGGCTGCTAAAAAACAAAGTGGTTTAGATCATCAGCCATCTCATCTTAGGCTCTCAAATGCAGAGGTGAGGCCAGCCAGCCATTTTATATGGCACTTAGTAACCTGCAACGTGTGTGAGAGAGAGGGAGAGATGGAGAGAGATGGGAGGAGGGCTCTGCACAACAGAGGAAGCACTAAGGCAAAAGGTGAAGAAAAACCTAATGTCAAAGTTGTAACACTTTCAGAAATTTCTAGAAGCACAGACTGACATCGAGACTATCATTAGAGACTAATGAAAGGCAACATGACTTTTCATCCATAAACAGACTATTCCAAAAGTGTAGCAAAAGCACAGGAACCCCATTTTAAGACTCCATTCTGTGGCCTGCAACAACTTGCATATAAAAGTCACTCGAGTCAAAACTGGAGGCTGTTTTAGAATCAAGAATTTAAAAGAAGTAAAATCGTACTGTATGGAAGGGGAAAAACTTTATAGAAAATAATACAAATTTTTAAACAAAAGCATTACATAGATGATAAAACATATGATGATGTACACAGCATTCTTTTATTGCTAAACATCAAATGCCAGTAACTGTGATATCTTCAAGTTAAAGCTTAGGAATGCACTATAGCACAGACAGATTTCTAGAAAAAAATACCTGCACACCATTAGCATGTGGACGTTCAATAAATGCTATCAGAGAAAGTGGTCACTGAGCGCCACATACTTATGAAGCACGTTTACAGTTTACTGCCATAACAAGCGACCTGGATGAGCAGTCGTCCAAAGATGAAATTTAATTTAATTTTTCAGACCAAGATGCTTAAAAGAATACATACACTCTTTACAGATTAGAGGTGATATAAAAAAAAACCTTCAGAAGTGTAAACAAGTCAGAGTAGGAACACAGAGAATAAAGTTTTACTGTTGAACAAAATGGCAACACAGAAAAAACACTTTCTGCAAATCTCCAAAATATTTTTTTGAATCATTCTATAGAAACCAAAATGGATTATTTTCATGAAGATGATGATATACTGGAGACACAAGGACCTTCCAAGTTATTTTTTATGTTAACATATTTACAGTAAATATTCAATAAAACTTTTTACAACTTACTTAAATAAAAACATGCTTGTCTAGCCCATAAATAACATTAATCATCCATTCAACCACATTTATTAAGTATTTATGATGTCTCATGCACTGTGCTGGGGATGCACAGATGAGTAACACACAGCCCCTTTTCTAGAAGTGCCCACAGTCAAGCTGAGAAGACAACACATATTATTTCCCTTTTTACAGATGAGGTATTTTCTACACGAATGGGAGTGATGTGCTCAATAGCCTCTTAGAATGGCTCCCAAATCAAACCCTATGGGACAACAAACCAAGGTGTTTATACAGCTACAGGAAAATGAGGTGTTTTGTTTTTTTCACCTAATAGAAGGAGCTAGTGGGTAGAATTTCCTCCACCAATTTTTTTTTCTCTCAGTTTAAAAGAAGCTTTCCTGCACGTACACAGCATTCTTAGTAGCAAACTGTTCAGTGGATGTAATTTAATTAGTGATGTATTTCATGGCATTCCCCAAAGTCTACTAGGGCTGAGCATTACTATGTTAATACCCTTTGATCCTGAATGACTGTCTAGAAAGAGAACAAATGCTGTTTCCTGGTATAAATCAGTAATTTGTAATGCTATTAGTTGGGTAATAGCTGGTCACCACAAGTCATGAATAATATGTTAAAATTACATTTAAGATACAATTTCTGTTTTAGAAGGCAGATGAATTTGTAATCTAAAGTTTCCCAAAAATCATGAAAAAGTTCTATTGTCTAAAGAGAAATTCAGTGAGCTGAGAAAGGTGAATCCCATGGATGATTTCACAGAGGGAAACTGCTGGAAGTTGGACTTGTGACTGTTCACATCATACTGGCCTGTTGACCACTCAGGTCTCCCAGGGCTGCATCTCCAGTTCAAAAGTCCTGGAACTACCAGGGCCCTTTCAAGCTCAAGAGTGGGTTCCCTGTCCTGGTTCTGGCAAATCCATGTTGGCACTCATGCGTAGCCATTTTCACTATCCTACTAATTCTTCTGTGGGCCACAGAGGTAGCTTAAGGGAAAGAGGGGAAGCAACAGAGAAACATGGGAGCCACTGGTAAAGACAGCAGGTTCCGGGCTTAAGGTAGTTGCTCCTTGAAAAGAAAACCAGGAGTTGGGCCCCCCGCAGCCCCAGCAGCACAAGAGAAAGGGTTCCAAACTCAAAGCTCTGTAGAGAATGGTAAGTGGGACCACAGAAAGTCCTGTGGTGTCTTGTGATCCGTCGGAATGGCTCAATTCTGAGGTTCGGCCCTAATGGCCTCTGTACACATGCTGCGCTTGGGAGACCTGCAGCTCTCTCAGAAGGTCGAGGCTAACGCTGCCTTGTAAGGGTGCGGGCACAATGCCCAAGACAACTCTCGTGGGGTAAGACATGTCTCAGGATATTAAAGGTCCTACCTCCTACTTTATTTATTTGGCATCATTGACAAAGATTTTCCCTTTCGTGTCAGCAGGTTCTTTTATACAATTTTATTAACTTAGTATAATCAAAACTTAGTTGTCAAGAGTGAAAAATAATATACCATAGAATTTTAAAATACTTTTCAAACAAGACAAATGACAAGAGATAGAGGCCAAGAAAATGGTCATCCTTCCAGTTAAAGTCTGATGTCTCCTTCAAATCTGGACTAGTGATGCTTTTTTAAAGAAGTTCTCCCCAATTAATCACACCCAATTCTATCCTCTTTATACTATTTTCAACAGAACATGTAGTCACACAACATGGCTTAACATGAATTTACACTTGGTTGGAAACTGTTCCACAAGTATCTGAGGTTTTCAGGTCATTCAGTCTTTAGAACTAGAATGTAGTCAGGCACTATGCCTTTCCTCTCCCACTTCCCCATCCCAGAGTTTGGATACTCTGGATATAGAAGGAGCTTAAAGTTGTTGACTAACATGTGATTTTAAGGAAACACTTGATATTTTCATATCAAGTAAGGTTTTCGATATTGTGTATTGTAACTCAAAGATTCCACCAGACGAGTGTGGACATTACCGTGCTGTGACCATCCAGAGTCCCAGGGTCACATTGGCAGCCAGAAGGATGCTACCACCAAGCAAAATGAAAAATCCTATTAGGTCTTTGACATCATTGTCACCAATCACTGAGGTAAGAGTAGCATCCAGGAAAGAGTTTAAGATCCACTGTCCATCCAAAGCAAAGCAGGGGACTGCATTAACAATAGCCAGAGCTCCTGAGAGGGAAATCAGGTACCTGGGTAAAATCAGTTAAGGAGGCTCAAGTGTGGTCTGAGTGGAAATTGCATTTCTGGGAGTCATAAGAGGATATTTTACAAGGACTGGGTTTGGGATTACCACCTTTCTTGAAATATCTGCCTACCAGGACCCCTCTTCTATTTAAAAGAAATGATTCATGTTATTTTTAAGTTCAATAGCCTTGTCTAGAAAAATAAAGGCCAACCACTCGTGAATAAGGCAATATAATAAAATCCTAGGAAGACTAAGTCTTTCTAATCCTTTAATGATACAACAAGGGGCAGGAACGTAGAAGGAGTAGGGGTAATGACTTTTTGAGCCTTACAACGTATTACCTTAAAGTAGGAAACAGACCAAGGCCGCTTGAACTCCATTATGCTGCCATCTCTAAGGTTAGAGCATAAATATAACTCTATTTTACCATTACCTCCCTAAAACAAAACAGCAGCCTACAAGGTGCATTCTTGATTGTACACATTTTTTAGCGAAGTTTTCCATTTCATTTTTTTTTTTGCAAATTATTAAGGAGAGAAATTAAAGGGGCTTAAAATAGCAAAAATAAAGTAGCCTCCCATACTGCCCAGTTAAAATACTAAACAATAACCACATTAAAAAAAAAATCTCATTCTTTATACACAAATATAATATGCTAAAAACTATATGAGGCCTTGATATCCCAACTTGCTATTTTAGTGGCAGAAACTGGCATGATCTCTGTTCTGCCTTCCCCATTTGGTCTGAGCTAAAGGCTTAGAATGGGCAGAAACCATCACCAGTGATGAAGCTTTCATCCTTTATAAACTTACTAAAAAAAGCTTCAGAGCTGTATAATTAACTCTCAATTTATATCCTGGGCTCCTTCTCTTTCACTTTTTAACCTTTCTCTGTCCCTGATCAATCTCTATCTGATAACTTCATCCTTTCCACATCTGATCTTTTTCAACGTGAAAGTCTCTTTTTTAGTTGTTAGCATTACTCAATACCTGTGCACGCTCTGTTCAAGGTAAGACTACTCAAATTCCAAGCAACACATTCAAAACCATTTCACATTAGGAAGGATACTTGACAAATGTCTCCACAACCACAGGCAGATCTATGCTCAGAAAGTTGAAACGTGGGATAAAACTGGTGATGCTCACTAAAAAGGAAACACAAGGAATAACAAAGGTAATTCACATCAGGTAAGCAAAGCCCTGTGAATTTTATATACAGTCAAAAGCGGGGCTACTAACGTGGTTGAGAAAGGGCTGCCCAAGCACATGGAGGCAGGCTGTATTGTCCTATACAGAAAAATAATCAGTTATTGTCTGACATCTAATAAAAATAGAATGCAAATTCATGTCCCAGAATGTTTTGGGGATAAGAATGAGATCAAATTGACTGTATAGCAAATATGACTATCACATACAGAGAATGAATGAAAGAAAAACTCAGAATTTACTTCAAAGTAGCCCATAACTTTTCAAAGCGGTATAACCTGAAAACCATAAGCCTTCCAACTAATCTAACACTTGACCTCTTTCTGGTTTTATTTTTTTTCTTCCTTGCAAAAGCAAGGATTAAGATGAGGGAATTGCGTAGATTCCACAATCTTGTTTTTACTGAAAACATTTAAAAATTCTTCTGAAATTAGAATCTATGGTATACATTTCTGAATTAGTCTCAATGAGGACATTTTTTTATTTGTTGAGGCTGTATTTAATACTTGCAGTGTAGAGTCATTTCATATCGAATTAATAAACAAGAAGAGTGGCCCAAGTTTTATCTCAGGATGTGAGTTATAAAGCAAGGAGCGGGATTCTCTTTGATGGTACAAGTGGGTAAGTCTCAGCACTATGAAGCTGTCTGCAACCACTGTGGCCTGAATTGGATCCCCAGCCAGAGAGCTGACCCATAGGGTGCAGCAGACCTCTCCTGTCTCACCTGCTGCTCCCCTCAGCAGTGTATTTTGGTAGATCCACTTGTTCTGCTCCCCACTCTTTCTCTGGTGAATCCTCTTACCTCCCGCATTTCTGGCCTGTACCCAGTTCTTGTATGCATATATAAAAAAATAAATGTGAAAAAAAAATAAAGTAAGAAAGGGGTCTTTTAAAGAGTAATATAAAACTCTCATGCCCATCAACTGATGAATGCATAAAGAAAGACATGGCTTATCCATACAATGGAACATTATTAGTCATATAAAGGTGTGAAATATTGACACAGCTGAAAGGAAGAATCTTGAAAATAGCATGTTAAGTGAAAGAAGCCAGTTATAAAATGTTCCACTTATGTGGAAATGTGCAGAACAGACAAGTTTATAGAAACAGAAAGTAGATGAGTGGTTGCCAAGAGATGGGGGCTGCTGGAGAGAAGGAAGGAGTGACTGCCTAATGGATATGGAGTTTCTTCTTGGGGTGATAAAAATACCCTGAATTGGACTGTGGTGACGGTCACATAACTCTGAATATATTAAAACCTACTGAATTGTACACTTTGAAAGAGTGTATTATATGGCATGTGACTTGTATTTCAATAAAACTTATAAAAAGAGGTAACAGAAACATCTTTTGTATAATGAAATGAGTTAGACTATATGCTCTTCAGCCATGGAGAAGCTGTGTATTTAGTTCAATTGTGTTGCCAGTTGCTGGTTATGAAACTGTATTTATAACTGACCATATAACCAGTTATGACCTGGTTATGAAACTATATTCATATAAAATTCATGTGTCAAGCACAAATTACTTTGTGGTAAAGTTCCAATGGGTTGTGGCATCCCCTGGGGTCCGCTTTCTTGCCACTGCTCTGGGCAGATGACATCTGAGAGGTCATCTGCAGGGCCTGGGTTATCGTGGTGATGTCATGCTCCACAGGCACAGATGGGATTCAGATCCAACTTGCTTATAAATTCAGATTATTTTTCTACTTCCTAAATTTCATTTAAAGTTTAAGAACAGAACAACTAATTAAGACTCTAAAAGTAACAAATGATAGGAAGTAAACGCACACAAGGATTAGAACTGAGTTCCTACCACTGAAAACAGATGACATCCTGGTTATTCTGAGGGTTTATCACAGTAACACCCACCTGTGTAGTGAAGGTGCAGTGGGTGTCCTACATACAACATGTCGATTTGAGGTGGATGCTTCACTTTTATCAGACGAGTATGAGTTTCCAAAGATGGTATTATACAGAAACTTGAACTTGAGTCTTTTTTACAATCTTTATTGGTTCTACAAACTTGGGTGGCTTCAACTGCTTTTCGGGCAGGTAGACATGTATGCTGTAAATAAAAAAATTATCAACATTCAATATAATTTACTAACAAGGAAAAATATCAAGTTACAATCCTTAAGTATTTTTCTTGTCGCCTAGCCTAATAAGAACAAAAGTCATGTTAAAGAAGTATCATTTGTGTAACTCCTATATTAGATTTGTATATTTCACATCAGAGAAGATATTGCTATAAATTTTAAGATTTTCAGATGAACTGTATCTGTGTATTGTACAGATTTTAGTAAATGATACAAAGCAAAATGGAGTTTTCATAGATTCTACTTTAGTTCTATTAAAAAAAATTTTTTTGAAGAGATAGTAACAAGCTTTTAAGATTTATTTATTTTTGCATAGAAGAACTGGGGAACTGGGGTATAGGTCAGAGGTGCAGAGGGTGAGAGGATTCACCAGGTACAGAGTGGGGAGCAGAACAGGTAGATCCACTGAAATACACTGCTGAGGGGAGCAGTGGGTGAGACAGGAGAGGTCTGCTGAGCCTTGTGAGTCAGTTCCCTGGCCGGGGACCCAACTGAGGACTTAGTGGTACAACTGCTGAGATTTGATCTCTAGGCCACCAGGAAGGCCCCTATATGCATATTTTAATTTTTTTAAATTGAAGTGAGACTGCATTATGACATTATATAGGTTTCTGATGTGTGGCACTGAAAATTAGCATGTGTATATAGCTGTAGGCTTATTTTGTAATAATTATATCAGAGAAGCAAGACTGTTTCAGAGACAACTTACCAAACGCTTATTAAAGTTATTTCTGTAGGAAAAGCACACATCTGTGAGGCTGTGGTTGTTACAGCATTCAGTTGAACCATCTAACCGCTTGTAGGCTGAAAGAGAAAAGGTTTATTAGAATCTGTTATATAGAGAACAAAAGGAAAAAGATTCCATTGTATGGATGCAATAAAATTTTTGCTTTCAGGACAAAAAAGGTAAAATGGATGAATTCAGAAATGACTGTATAATTCAGAGTTCGGTGTGAAGACACTGGCTGCAGTTTGATTTGATGCCGCAGAGTGAGACATGCCCAATTTGAAATCAAGAAAGAGCCCATGCCCTTGGTGAGGCGTTGTCTCCATAAAACTTACCCACTCGTCAAGGCAGAATCCCAGGGTCTCACTAGGTTTTACAACTACAAGCACGAAGACTCAACGAGCCCTGCTAGAGGCCCTAACACCAGCCATCCACTGCCACCTCTGAGCACCTGTGCCGACGTGAATACAGTTAGGAGAGGGGGCAGAGCACGCTCAACGGACCAGCATCCCTAAAGAGGTCCCAGTTATCAAAGATCGATCCCACCTCCAAACATACTTTGGGGCTTTCCCTAAGAACCAGGGTAGCCCAATTTGACCCACACATGCGCACATATCTTTGCCTACATACCAGTGACTCACCATTTTTGGATGACAGCAGAAACGGGACAACTGTTTATTTCCATTATTTGTTCACTTTTTAAAGTTCTTTGGTAGACTGTTCTTTTTTACTTGTACTTGGGGCAGAATAAGGAAACTCACTGATAGTTTTTGTATCACAAACTGTCCTGATAATCATTTGTCTGCTTTAAGGGTCAACTATGAGGTAAAAGAGTTGTTTAGGATTTTGTTTTTCAACCTAGATTAAGACTCAGTGTTTTTTCTCTCTGATCTGCTGCTAACCCCCAGCAAATTTTACCTTCTCACGTCTTTCTCTGATTATCTATTCCCACTTGGTGCAAACTTTAATTCCTTCTTGCCTAACTCATCTGAACACAATCCCGTGAGTGTGGCTTATTCACTACCTAGCTGGAAAACCTGTCCTCCATGTTGAGTCTTTCAGACTAACCTTCCAATGAAGAACTAGAGAGTTGAATTCCTCTACTCTGAAATTTTCGGTCTCTGCACTGCTCTCAAATAGCCTATACCTCATAGCCTAAATCTAAAAAACTGCTTTAATATCATCGCATCTCCTATTATTCTCTTGTTATGCCAAATAACTAGCAGTTCCCTGACCACCTTTGATTCTATGGTGCCAAGGCTCATTCTATCTTGGCCTCATGAAATTAAACTCATTACTAAGGTCTATTTCAAGGGCTACAGCTATAAAATCTGCCTTCATCTTAGTCAAGATTGGAGGTCCCCGAGGCTTTCATGGGTTAGATTTAACTCTAGGAGATTAGCATTGTCTCTTAAATATCCACGGGCTAGGAGACAATTAGAAAAAATTAAGACTGAAGCAGTTTGATAATCCTACTACAGGGAGAGTCTGCATCATCTGACTGTACCCTATGATGGACCTTAAGAAAATCATTGATATAGTTAACTCTTAAAAGGATGGTCTACACCAAAGGTGACCTTGGATTCAGACTGGAAAGTAGAGGCTTTTCAATCTATAGTTCATAGTCGCCACTACTTTTTGTATCACTAAAATGATCTGGACAATTTTCTTGCTGTAGCTTATTAAATATGTAAATGTAGCTAGAGCGTCAGGACAAGCAGGGAAGTCCATTCATTCACAGTGCGGGAGTAGACTTTACCAGCGCTTCGGAGTAATGCGTAGTTAAAAGGTTATGTGCTTCAACACACGCAAATACAAACACACATTCTCATCAATCTAGGACAGCAAAGAATCCCTGGACCATATTTGATGCTCACGGCAGGAAAACAGACACCTTTACCCCCCCTAAACTTTTGAGAAGATGAGGGCATAAAAACAATCTTGGTACTCGGAATATGTGGAAAAGATTTTCAGGGTATTTTTATTATCTTAAACTAGGTCAGGAAGGGTCTTTCCTTTCTTCAGTTGAGTATGCAAGACAGGACAATATTCCTGCTGTTAGACAGGCATAGGTATGAAGCCCCACCTGCTTTCAACAGGAACATGGGCAATTCCAGGGGGATGCTTGAGGCTGGGCTCGCAGCTTTATCTTAGGGAGCAGCTGCCATTAGTATTCCACCTCATGTTCCTTAAATGTGGATCACATGCTGGACTTGTTGAGTATAGAGTTTCTTACTCAAGACATTATTTTTTGGGAACAAAAGGAGGAGTTCAGCTTTATGCATTTATGAAATGAAGAGTATCTTCTCAAATTAAAGAGTGATGATGAAAGCTACTTGTTAGGAAAACAGTATCAAAAAAGAGCCAGACAAATTGTCTAAACCTTGAGTTCCACTGAAGTCACCAGTGGCACATGGGTGCCCAGCAATCCTAAAACCAAAGGCTTGGTCATAGATGGAGGGAAAGTTATTTTCTCTTTTGACCCAGAATGAGGTCAGAGATCTAGTCCTGATGCAAAGAGCTCCAAGCCCTCACTCTATCCTTTTGGGGGATCCTGAAAAGACCATTCATTTTCTAAGGAGTTTATTGGATAAGCTCCTTTGGCTTGTCCCATGCACCAAGAGCATGGTGAAGCTAATCCACCTAGTGGCTCTGCTGGTGATGTTCACAGTTTAGCAGGTCAATGCCAAAAAAAACAAAAACAAAAACAAAAACCAGGGAAAAAAGCAGGTGCCAATACAGTCATCAATATATACAGCTATTTCAGTTAGATTAACCATATGTATCTAATTTGCTCTCAGTCTACATGTTAATATTTTAAGGAGGACATCTACTCTCATCTACTCTGCTGGCTTAGGGCAGCTTCCATGTGCTTGCAGGCCAGAGCTTTCCCAGTTGGCTTTATTGTTTCAAAGTGGTATAAATTCCTTGAATTTTAAATTGTGTATAATAAGCTCTATTCTAAGTTAAATATGAATAGCTTCTATTATTGGCCACTTTTTACCACTGTATTTGCTATATCTTCCCCCCTGTTCATAGCAAAGGAACCTGGATATCTGGATATCTGTCCACAGCTGTCAATCCACAGCATTCTTAAGTGTCCAACCCCAGCAGTCAAGCTGCCATTAAAATGAATCTAATACCTAGTCTAAATCACATCTGCATCAGTAACAGTCCTGCAAATGGGCTGAGTATATGTACTTTATTTAAAAATGGTTAAACGGAGGTACAGGTGTTTCAGACAAAGTCACCTGGTAAAATCAACAATTGTCCTCGCACAGCCACTGCTAGGAGATGAAAAAGACCTTGAAGAAAAATGATTTTGGGTTTCTTCTGAAGTAGATAGTCAAGAATCACTATTTCAGGATTCATTTTTTTTACTTAGTGTGGAAAGAGTAATATCTACTTCAGTTTTTTAAAATAAGTCATGAAATAATCAAATGTTTGTAAGGAAAGAATTTCAGAGTATTTTAGGGAACATTTTCATTTCCATTCTGTCTGACAGGAGCAGGAGAGAGCCCCAAACATCTGAAATTCAAATATATGAAATAAAATGATCCTACGGAGAGAACTTTGATTTTTGGCTTTTGTACTTCAACATGTTGTAACATGTTGGCTTTTGTACTTCAATAGCCAAAATTTAAAGAAAGTGGAGGAAAAAGGTAAAAGTATGAAGTAATGAATTATTTCTCTTAAAGAGCAAATTGTGGGTCTATACCAACCATCTGCTATCTGTAAAGTTATGGAAGATGGAAAGAGACTCTTGAGAATAGGAAAATTTTACAAACATTTCAACTGAATGAATCAAATTAGCCCATTTAGCAATCCTGTGACCGCAGAGGAGACAAGCAGACGCTACGCGCCTCCTGACAGGTGCAGTTTCAAGCACTGAGCAGTAAGAGTGCTTCACAGGGAGGACTCTTGTCTTCCTCCAAATGGGTCTTGAATCTAATCAATTCTCTAGATCTAATTACCATTTATAGGCAATTTTGGGGGGGGCGTCTAATCAAGTTGGGGACCTTCCCAGAACTTGGGAAATTCAAGAAAACAATTGTTGCAAGATAAAAGAAACCTTCAAAGACATGCCCTAGATCTTTCTTGTGAAACAGCACTTTTCCATTCTAGCTTAAATATGCCATCATTGAGGCTTGCATCAGGTAGCCTCTTACTATATTTGTTAGGGGTGTGTTTTCTTGAACACATCTTTTATTAGCTGATGAACTGTTATTAGTTGCTTTCTCATAAGAATCCATAAGGATTCATTCAGTTATTTGCATTCGACTTAATGAGAACATTGTAAATTGGTTCTTCAACTGCACTATGAAAATTATTTGAGCATACTTTATAATTTAAACAAGCCAACTATAAAAAGATGGGGAAAATGAACGAGATATTAGGAATTATCGCTTATTTTGTTATGTGTGATCGCAGTGCTGTGGTCATGTTTAAAATGTCGTCATCAAGTAAAGACATGCTGAAGTTTATGGATGAAATTTTAGGATGCCTGGGATCCTGCTTTAAAATACTCTCCCAAAAGTGGACTGACTGAATGAAATAACTGTCAAAACAATGGTAATTGTTAAAATAGAAGCATACATCATGAAGTTTCATGAACATTATTCTATTTACTTCTAGGTCTATTTGAAAAGTTTTTACAATAAAAATAGTACTTCAGAATGAGTTATACATGGAAGATTTAGAAAAAAAATAACCAGTTTGTACAACCTTGCCATTATTGTACACAGTATCTTAGTAAAGTTATTCTAGATACTTAATCATGATGCCTAACCTTAGTAAATGTGTTCAGTATTCAGGACATTTCTTGCCTTAAGGATTTAGTCTGTGACCATCATTTGTATTTTCCACCACTGTTAATAATTTGGGTCCCACAAAGAATGGGGAGACTAATTTTTCAAGGCTGAAAGAACTCAAAAGTAAATTTGGCAGCTTCTGAGAATAAACTTGCTTGTTGCCTGCTACACAGAACATATCTGCCTTTGGGGGTATTTTTGGACACCAAGATGACTTTCTCTGGGAGCCTGCCACATCAAATAACTACCACAAATAGCTGTGGACATCCCACCATCCATATAGCACCAGGGTGTGTGACGACTGGAATTCAGTTAATTGGCTAGAGTTGAGCATGAGTGCTGACTTAGCAAAATCACTGACAAGTGATTCCAAATGCAGAAAGAATTAGATACTAGAATCCTGAAAATCAAATACGAGATTAGTTAGGAGTTGAATAAAAGTATATAAAAAAAGAAAACAAACATATCAGTATCTAACTTACCAAGAAGAAAGTTTACTTCTTTGGTCCTATTTTACTTGCTTAAAATAAGAACAAAATCCATCTAGAGACATGGTCTAGGAATTGGGGAACGGCAAGTACTGATGCGTGAAGCGTTATCATATACTGAGGAAATATACACACCTCTAACTGGGAAGCTTAACTGCTGTAAAGTAGATGCACTTATACAGTAGCCAATTTGGGGCTCATAGGCGATGGTATCTAGGCATTCATTCCAATCTTGCACATTAGTAACAGGGCAATCCTGGAGATGCGTGACAAGGTCTCCCACAAAAAGACCTCTGGGTCCAACGGCAGGTGAGTCCTTGGGAAAGGGCAAATCAGATGTGTTGAGACAAACTGTGATTATACTGAATAAGGTAACAGTCAAACACACCAAAATAATGAAATACAGTATTTTGAATAATGCAGAAAACAATGCAGCTTTGAATCTAAGATGTATAATTTTAGAAAATTAACAAAATAAAGCCAACAATTATAGTTACCCTTCCTACTTCTCCAAAATGGATGTTTTCACAATTCGGGAAAAAAAGATACCCAACTTGCCAACTGTTAAGATTACATTGATTAAAATGATAATGGTTTTCCCAAACGGGTAACTGAACTTTTTTGGTGAGAACAGTCATCACAAAGACTTCATTTACCTATAGTCTTCACGGATAAGATCACCAGACAAGTCCTTAGCCAAATGGAGGCCCGACTATGCTGACAATCCACAGCACAAGTAGTATGTGAGCCAGTGCTCACAAAGGCAACTTCCCTCTTCCCAATGTCTGAATAGAAGTCCCGCTGCTATGGCAACAGTTACTAAGGGAAGGAAAAGAAGCCTGGAGGAGAATTAACGGTCAGGAAAGGTTCTGGCTGGTCAGCCTAGATTTCACCTTTCTTAGGCGTAAAGACTTTTGACTCAAAGCAAAGATGTAAGCAGAAGAGGTTTTAAAAAGTTGATCAACAAACCACAGGTAGAACATTTTGTTATTATCCTTGAAACTCAAAACAGAAACAATTTTCAGTATTTTTGAAAAGGCCAACATGCTTCCTAAAACTATTTGTTTGATTTAAAAGGATATATAATCTTTTCAGGAGAAAATGGACATTTAGTATATGTGGAAAGTTAGAATAAAAGTACTTGACATAAATGCTGAGTATAACATTGAAAAAGCTGGCCTAAGAATGGCCCAAGTAATTTACTACTTACCTCAGCAACTTCAGTGATAAGCACCCCAACTCCAGTGTAGTAAAACGGTAAGAGAATTACAGGGAGGAGAAGGAGAGCTAAAATACCCAGGAGTGCAAGGACAAAATTATGCCAGATACCTGAAAAGAGCAGGGAAAAAAGAAAGAGATTCAACTGGGGCCAAAATGATATAGGTATTTGGACTCTGAAACACTTGGGCATTCTGAAAATCAGTAAAGTGACCAGAAGAGGCTGTGAGGTAGGTAGATCTATCCATTAGTCTGGCAGACGTCCAGTTAGAGGTTTCTTCCATTTCGGCTACTGAAGCCTGAAATGAATACCAAATTAGGAAGATGACATGCTAATATGATTTGATACCAACAGAACCTATACTTTTAGTATAAACAGATCTCCATGATATGTGTGTGTGTGTAAACAGCAATAGAACAAATACCTAATTATCTATTCTTTTCAGTAAATATATACATTATTAAACATACTCTGATCTTCGAGATGAAATTCAAAGCTATCCAAAGAGTTAAGATCAAATGGTAAACATTCTTGCTGAGCTGTGGTATGGAAATAGAAAAGTCACTTAGTGAGAAGAGCGTTTTAAGAACTGAACCGCTCTGAAGAGCAGTCTTGTGAACCAAGCAGAGCTCGCAGTTTACGCCATGTCAGACCATAACCATCTCTCCCATATGAACAGTGGCACTTAGGTCCTCCGGAGCTGTTCCTACCAGCCTGCAGGGCTGACAGCATGCATTTCCTCCCAATTCCTTCTTCAATGACTTCAGGTTGGTACCTTGAAAATCAGCCAGAGTGGGGGTATTTACATGACAGAGCTCCCCACACCCCCTCCAGAGCCAGGCCTTAAGCATTCACTAGCACACCACTAGATGAGCACCCGCCCCCATGCCTAGCCTTCCCTTTTTCTGGTGCAGTTTTTCTCCTGGGCAGTGGGAGGGGGCACTATTAGCACTACTAGGCCAGTGTGGTTCTTAGTTGTGCCGGAAGCTGACCTTACCTAATAGGGTATTTAGCTCCTGGCTCCCTTCTACTACTTGCCATTAGTGCCTGCCAGCCACCAAGACAACCAAGGCTGCTCCCCACCCAACACATTCCAAGCATCCCTGGGAGGGCGATGGCAGCAGTGGTTGAAAATGTAACCTAGGGCCCTCCCTGGTGGCACAGTGGGTTAAAGCATAGCACCATGAAGCTACCACAGCCACTGCAGTACCAGTTTGATCCCCAGCCAGGGGGGTGGCCCACATGGTGTGGCAGACTTCTGGCCTGCCCGCTGCTCCCCTCAGCAGTGTATTTCAGTCCATCTGCCTGTTCTGCTCCCCACTGTCTCTGGTGAATCCTCTCACCGACACCCCCCACCCCCCTGCGCCTCTGGCCTGTATTCTAGTTTTTGTGTGCATAAATTAATCTAAAAAGAAAGAAAAGAAAATGTAACCTAAAGACATTTCCCAGACTTGCAGGAAGTACCCAGTATGGCCACATGACTGTTTCGGCCAACAGGATGTGAGCAGAAATGATGGGGCCCTTCCTGTCAGATAGGTTGGAATGCAGGGTGATGGAGCAAGATATGACTGTAGGCCTTAAAGCGGCACGATGGAACAAGGAGAGCTGGTAGGCAGAGCTTGAGTCCCCAAATCACAGAATTATCCTATCTGCACTCTGTTATTTTTAGCTATTAAAGCAGCCAGGTACTGAGCCAATACATGTTCCATGCACCATCTTTACATGGAAAAATGCTCCTTCATTTTTTTTTTTAATTATAAGTTCTGGAAATATTCAGAGCAAGTTTGGTACAAGACAGATTGGAAAACAATCTTTTCTGTTTTAAACACAAATTAATTTTTAAAAAATACCAATGGTCACAAACTATGTACCAGAAACTATTTGCTTTTTCATTCATATATGTGACTGTATCCTTATCTACACATTCATATCTGCTTCATTTCTTATATCAGCTAGGGAATAATTTACTCTTTGAAATATCATGGACATTCCTCCCAGCCTGTCTCAGAGGCTGCCCGCTGATCAAGAGCCACCAGCTACTCTGGAGCAGGCTGTCGAGTGGCAAAATTCACCAGAGCACCAAGCATATCAGACACCATGGTCAGATGAGCTGAGGATGCCCAGGAATTGAGTGACCAGAAGGGCCTTTGAAACCCTCATCAAGAATTTCCATTAGGGCCCCCCTAGAGGCGTAGGGGTTAAAGTCTCAGCACTGTCAAGCAGTCACCAGCCACCTCTGCATGAGATGATCCCTGGCCCAGGAGGTGACCCACAGGCTACAGCAGACCTCTCCTGTCTCCCCGCTGCTCCCCTCAGCAGTGTAACTCAGTAGATCCTCTTGTTCTGCTCCTCACTCTGTCTCTGGTGAATTCTCTCACCCCCACCCCAACCCTGTACCTCTGGCCTACACCCCAGTCCTTCTATGCATAAATAAATGTTAAAAAAAAAAAAAAAAACTTCCATCAGCCCCTGTGGAAGGTGGGAAGGAGACAGCTCAGCCTCTGACCTCTGGAACCTGGTCACCTAGCAGCTGCCTCACCTGTGCCACGCAACTGCAGACTGGAAGAGAATATTTCTGACTATGGCAACTGAAATGACTCTTAACTGGAGTTCAGGAGTTTCTAGGTGGGAGAAGCAGCTGAGTCTAAAGATGGAGTGCTCTGTTCAGGGGAGATGAGAAACTTCCCTTGGAATTCTTGAGGGGATGTTGGGCAAAGGGAACCTTAGACTATAGGCCTAGAATTAAAACGCCTCCTCCACCACCAAAACCACTTGATATTCCAGTCTGCACTGCTTCACTTCTGCAAGGTCAACTTAATGGGCCCTGGTGGTGAGGACGGTGTCTGTCCATTTTATTCCTGGCGGCTCCTTGGAGCTAATGGGTCCAGGAGACCCCACCAGAGAGAGGCTGGGGTGCTGGCTGGGGCCAGGCTGGATATAAAGAAGTCAGGTCAGTATAGGGATCAAGCCACTGGGGAGGGAGGGCAGAGAGGAACAGGGAAATGGGGAATGATCTGAAGGGGACTAGGAAATAGGGCTAGATATTTCGTACTAAAATTCTCTAAGAATGTACCCTCCTATTTCCTGTCGCAACACCAACGGCTGTTCTCTGTCCAGTGCTCACTTCCTGTGTCCAGCTCTGCCCTGGTATCCTGGGCTAGGACAGGGGAAGAGGGAGCAGGGCGGGGGGTGGGGGGGATACGGGGAGGAGGGGAGGGTTAAGGGACAACAAGACCAACTGGGATTGGCCTTTAAGCAATGAGGGTTGTATCATTTGATTAAGTGGAAAAGTGGAAAACAAAAACAAGATCCCTGTACTGACTTATTTGTAAGGTTCCCTATCAGTGATCGTTTGGGATGTTTTAACTTTAGTGCACTGCTATGACAGCTTGGTTCATGTTGCTACACAGCTAAATAAGGATGCATTGTGAGGGTATGGAAAATGACAGACACGGGATGGAATGAGAAGTATGTGCGTTAGTAGTTTGACTGTTAGTATTTTACTGGCCCCCTTGTTCGGTTCCCCTATATTCTTCGTATAAGTGAAACCATCTGACGTTTTTTTTTTCCTTCTGACATTTCACTGAGAAGACAAAAAAGAACATAAAAGCTAACTGTATTTTTTAAAATGTGCATCCAAATGACCTCCAGTGACTTTGCATTAACTTAGTTTCACGTTTCCCCAACCTCTGAACAAGGCTGGATGCTATCATAATTTTAGATTCTGCCATCTGCTAGGTGAGAAGTAATCTGTCTTGATTTCTATGTTTTTAATTATGAGCTTATATATTATGAGCTTATATATTTTTATTTTTATGCGCAGTAAAAGACTTTGTATTTCTTTCGTCTGCGATCTTTATCCATTTCCTGTTTGGATTTTAAAAACAACTATTCTGTATGTGTTTTCTTTATAATACATATATTGAGGAATTTGGTCCTTTGTAAGAGGAAGTATTATAATTTTTTCTTCCAGTTTGTTGTTTGGTTTGATTCAGTTTTGCCTATACAGACATTTAAAATTTTGGTGTGGTCATGATTCCTTTCCATTAAACCTTTCCCAGTTCAGGATTATAGAAGACTCTCACATATTTTTCCTATATTGTTTTCATAGCTTTATTTAAAAAACACATTAAAGCCAAACCAAATTGACCCACTGGGATTCATACAAATGAAAGTAACTTAGGAATAAAGCTGTGCTCCAACTCTAGTTGCCAGTTTCACATAATAATCTATTCCCACTGATTAAATCTGTCACCCTCTCCCACCCAGCTGCCTGGATATCTGCACCCTCACTATGATATGGCCACCCAACAGGGGCTTTTCCCATGCAAATAAGTCAGGGAGCACACAACAGCACTGAATCCTTGACTCTCTGGCTGCCTCCTCTCTTGTCAGTGCTGTAGCTGGTACCTGATCACCCATCTAGATTTGTCCATGAGAACTAAGTGGAAACAAGAAGAAAACAGGGCCTCCCTGGTAGCACAAGGGGTTAAGTCTCAGCATTATGAAGCTATCAGCAGCAACTGCAAGTTGCTGAGTTCAAGTTCAATCCCTGGCCAGGGAGCTGACCCACATGGTGCAGCAGACCTCTCCTGTCCTGCCCTCTGTCTCCCTCAGCAGTATGTTTCAGTGGATCCACCTGTTCTGCTCCCCACTCTGTCTCGAGTGAATCCTCATACCCCCTGCACCTCTGGCCTGCAACCCAGTTCTTGCACACATAAATAAATAAATCTTTTTTAAAAAAGAGTAAAACACACATTTTCTTAAACATCCTGTCCATTAATGATTTATTTATAAGTACACCAAAGGAATGTTACAAGATTTTTCAGCAATGACATTACTGGCGTGTTGGGCCAAATCATTCTTCACTACAGGAGACTGTCTTATACACTCTGGGGTGTTCAAAAGCATCCCTGGTTTTTATCCCCCTGATGCCAGTAGCACCCTCCTCATTATCTCTATTTTCTAGCTGTGTTAACAGGTAAGTTATTTTCTTTAGAGCAAGTATTTTGCTTTTTGCCTTTTCTATTACATGAGATAGACACAAGTGCTAAAAAGGCAATATACACACAATGTACTCTATAACTGAATACTACTCAAAATGAGGGGGCAAAGTAATCATACTAAACAGCAGCACCTGACATCACCTTAAGTGAAAAAGATTAAAATAGGTTTAAACTGACTAATATTTCAATCACATCTTATAGTCAATACTGTATAGTATAATGCAATGTAACAAAACAGTTATGCAAAGTGTGTTAACATTCACTAAAATTAAGATAGGAAACCTATATAACCTTTTTTTTTAAAACATGGAAAAACTATGTATTTCTGCACCTCTTCATGTATTTCTTTCCAAGAAAATCCACTGCAAACAGAGTTATCAACATTCAGGAAAATATCCAAAATTACTTAACATATTCCTAAAGTAAAAACATGAACATTTGGAAAATACAGAATTTTTAAAACTGTAAGCTATAGGTGAATTTCATGTTTAAAAGAATGTGAAAAGTCCCATTTTTAGCACGGTTTTATAAAGAACTGTGTTTTGAAGAGAAGTGCCTGAATTATTTTCCTGTTGGGACCAAGTTTTACAAAATAAGAAGTTTTTGAGCAAAATTACAGAACAAATGCAATTACTTAACATTCTACATAACGTTAAACTACAGAATTTTTTTTTTTTTTGATTTCTAACTTTCCACTACTCTCTCAAATATTAGCCTTGTATAGCAATCTGAAAATTCTAGCCTAGCGACGATAAAGAGACATGTTTTCAAGCACTCCTGGAAGGCGCTTCCCAGTTTGAGAAGGTCCTTGTCTCTTACTGGTTATTTTTATTCTTCGCATGCGTCAAGATGTGAGACTTGAGATTAGTTGACTGAGCGAACTTCCTGCTGCAGGTATCGAAGGGGCACGCGTAGGGCCGGTCTCCGGTATGGATACGCACATGCGTGCGCAGGTTGAAATCCAGCGAGAAGCGTTTTCCGCAGCCTTCAAATGTACACTGGAAGGGCTTCTCTCCAGTGTGCACCAGTTGATGTCGTTTGAGTTTCGAGTTCTCCACGAAGGCTTTGCCACATTCAGCACACACGTGGACCCTGGGGCCGTGGGTGTGCAGGTGCTTCCTCATGGCGCAGTTATCGCGGAACATCTTCACGCAGCCCTTGTGCGGGCAGGCGATGGTTCTGGGGGCATCCTCCTTGGGCTTTCTGGGCTTCATTCTAGTGAATTCCTTCAGCTGTTTGGGATCGGAGAGGTCGATGCCAGGTATCCCCTCAGGAGGAAGCTTCTTCCCAGTCAGGTACTCGGAATAATCGGGGGAGGGGTCCTTCACCGGCTGTGCCGGCTCCAGCTCGTTGCGGTGGCTGCTGCTTGCCGCAGACCACAGGGTGACAGAGAACTCCCCCTCCAGGGTTTTGATCTGCACCTGCTTCTGCTCCCACTTCTTGTTGCCCCCGTCGGCGGCAGTGGCAGCTGCGGCGGCGGCGGCAGCAATGGCGGCGGCGGTGGCGGTGGCAGTGGCGGTGGCAGCAGCAGCGCTGCTGCTTCCTGCCTCCCCGCCGCCTCCTGTGTGGTTCTTCTTGCCGCTGTTCTTCCTGCAGCGGCTGGTCTTCTTGTGGCGGGTGGGGGTGGCCGCCGCAGAAGCAGACAGGGACGCCAGGGTCTGCTGGAAACGGTCTTCCTCGCTGGGCGACCTGGGGGCTGGGCTGCCGGAGTCGCTCGGCGAGTCGGACTCGCAGTAGGCCACCACCTCCTCCCGTGTCTGCACCATGATTACCTCCTGGTCATGGTCACCGTGGCTCGGGTGGCTGCTCACAAGTGGCTGCAGCGCTATCAGAGGCGGGTGATAGTGGCCCCCGTGGATCCAGCTCCCGGTCACATCCTGGTATACCTGGATGGTCTCCAGGGCCATGTTGTGCTCAGTGTCTGCTTCCACACGGATCTGGCCCGGCTCCAGCGCGTCTTCGGGCCCCTCCGCTCCTGGCGCCTGATACTCGGCGTCGTTGGAGGCCATGGCGGGAGCTCGGTTGCTCGGCAGCAGGCGAGTGACGCGACAGCACAGGATAGCCGTTGACGATAGAAGCTTGGCGCCCGCCAGCTGCACGTGTGCAGGCGGTAGGTTCGAGCCGCAGATTCGGCGGTTGAGCGAAACTGGGGCGCAGAGGCTTCTGGGAGCTGACGTAGGCGTCTTTACGCACGCATGCGTTTCTAGCCGCCCTCGGTCAGCACTTCCTGGAGCCCCCACTATGCGTGGCCCGGCTCCCAGCCACCTGCGTGCCTGCGCGTTGCAAGTAGGCGTGCGTGCGCCCTGGCTCCCTGCTCCTGCCCAATCCGCTGGGCTGTTTTCTTTTGAACGGTAAGCGGGTAGCAGACTCGGACTGTTTCATTTTTTTACTCTCAGCGCTCTCGCCCCCGTGTATCACAGCATGGGGGAAACCAGTACTCCGTTCTAATATTTATGCTTCTGTTTTCCTCTTATTTATTCGCACTGACTCACATTTACAGACCACTCGAGATCATCAGGGATTGCTTGTCATTTCCTTTAGTGGGAAAAGTTCTAGGCGCTACGCCATTAGGAAGCTACTTCTATCTTTTCTAAGGGTTTTTCAAAGCCATTAATGGAATTTCACTTTAAACTTACCGTTTTAATATCTGCCGAGATGAGGATTTTAATTTTAAGTAGCGTTTACCATATTGAAATAGATTTCCTAATGTTAAACCATCCCTGCATTCTTCAGATAAACCCTGTGTTTATAAAGGTTTTCTGTGCTTTCCCAGATACGGTATCACTGAGACAGTGGCTTTTCCATCTACTGTCTTAATTTCTCCTAGTATAATCAGCCTCATTAGATTTTTTTTTTTAATCTCCACTGGTGTTTAGGATATTTACATATATTTAGCCAGTTCTCAAAATATTTTGGCAGAGATGAAGAACGAATATTTTTTATGTTTGTTGCACTTTTCTCTGTATTGTCTGGCATTCCCGGATTTGACTGCTAATTCTACCTATAGGTGCTTTCTCCCAGGCTATAATCTTTTTTTTTTCTTTAGGAATTAATTTCCAGATTTAACAGTTCTGATTTTTTCTGGCTTATTTTCTGTTGACATATTTACTAATAACTTCATCATTTCTTTACTACTTTATAATTATTTTAACATCTTCAGCTGGATGCCTCATGATTTCCTTTCATTTTTTTATTTCATAACAACTGTGTATTGTGTAAAGTAAATGCTCCTTTTAGCAAAACTTTAGTAAATTACTTCATCATAAATCATTTTGTCATTTTTTGTTTTAAAATATACTGCAATTATGTTTTTGAATTAGTAAATTTTTATGTTTCACAGGCATTTGCAAAGAAACTGTTTTACAGTATGGAGTTTGACATATATATTGATTTTTACTTGCTAATTTAAAAAAAGTTACATATTTGATGATCTTGGCTTTTCAGATATATTTGCCTTGCATTGAGAGATAGGTGATCTTTATTAAAATTCTGCTTTATTTTTGCTATTTTTGTTTTGATGGTTGATTATTTCATACAATTATATGCTCATTGTAAATTATACTCCTTATGATTAAGTGACCCCGTATTTAGTCTGACTTCTGTTCCCATTTATATAGAATGTTCTGCTGATTTTAGTTGCAATCTTTTGGAGTAACATTTAGATGCATTTCTTTTATACATAACACATCTGATGTGTTTTTAATCCAAATTAAGAACATTTTTCTTTTCAATAGCGAGCTAATCATATATTTAATCACAAAGTAAGTGTTTTGGTCTTATCTTTTGATATATGGTCTGTTTTCTTTGGCTTACACTTCATGCTTTCAGATAACTTGAAAGGTTTATCATGTGTGTTTTAGATCTTGTCGCATTTATAATTCTTAGGTAATGTGTGCAAGCCTCTATTTCTTGATTTATCAACATTAGGCAGACTTTTTCTTCTTCATTACAAAGTTGAGGAAATTAGTACTTAGACTTTCAGCTAATACTTTACTTTTGCCACTTCGATGCTTTTATTCTATTATAGTCACTCTGTTTAAGATTTCTAACTCCATATTTGATTAGCCTCATTTGTTCCATTTAAAGAGGTACAGGATTTTGATGTATTTGTCATGTGTCAATTTAGCTCAGGTAGAAAACTGTTTCCCAGAATTTCTTGCCTACATAACTATATTTTCCTAGTGGATGTTTCTAGTTCACTCTGCCAATCCCAGAGTTCACCATCTTTCCTTGCATACAATCTCTTTTTTTCCCCCTGAATTATTTATCTCGTGGGTGATTATGTTCTCTCTTGATTTGATGGAAATGTCACTATACTTCATCTGAGGTGATATTCTTCGTAATTTGTTTTTAGATTCTTTATTGCTTAGCTTCAGTGAAAATGAATTTTCCACTCTGTTTTTACTAAGTTTTTAGTTATTTTTAATAGTTTGTTTTTAGTTATTTTTAATAAAGAAATATAAATTATTGACTTGACTGAGCATCTTTTAAACTAAATTTAGCAACCAAAAGATGTTTTCATTTGTAATGTGAGTGCTTCCATAAAACCACTAATAACACACAGATGAATAAAGAAATTTAAGTCTGTTACCTGCACAAAATATCCGCAGCTGCTGGACTGGTGAGATAAGTTGCAAATGAGTGGTGAAAAGATCAACAAATGCTCCAGGATAAATAACGAAGAGAAAAATCCCAAAGCCATTAAATCGAACCTGTTCCCTAAGAATTCACACAAGAAAAAGGATTTTACCATTAATACTACATTTGTTAAATTAATAATGCATTAAGTCTTAAATGCCACTGTAATTCCAATTTTTGCTTAAAATACAAATCTCCATAAAACAATCAAAAAAATTATACATGCACACATTTGTTTTATATATATGTATCTCACATCAGGACGTTATAATATTGTACAGATTTGCTTTATCTGAACTCGCATTTTAAAAAATAGGATGGGCATTCTGAAATAGCTTACAACTTCACAATTTTTATAGGCTAATATGCTGAGCAAAAACTTGAAACATGTCACACTTATAAGGAAATGGTTAATATTTATCAGGAACTAAATGAAAAAAAATTTATAGTTTTGATTTTTCTCTTCTGAATTATTTTCAAAGATGGACAGAGTAGGAAATATAATTCAAGTAAATTATCTAAATATTTATACTTGCCTTAGGTATTATAAAGATGGAAATTTAAGTGTATTCCTATTGAATTAATGTTCAAATAAATATATTTTAAAATGCATAATTGGGCCTCCTTTGTGGCACAAGGGGTTAAGTCTCAGCACTATGAAGATATTGGCAGTCACTGCAGCATGAATTTGATCCCTGGCCAGGGAGCTGAGCAGCAGACCTCTCCTGTCTCACCTGTTGCTCCCTCAGCAGTGTACTTCAGTTGATCCACCTATTCTGCTCCCCACTCTGTCTCTGTCCTGTCTCTGGGGAATGCTCTCATCTCCCTGCAACTTTAGCCTATACCCCAATTCTTCTACACATAAATAAATCTTACAATAAATAAATAAAATATATAATTCTCAGATTGTTCTCAAGAGAACTATTTTTTTTTATCAATATATTTTCTAAAAATGGAATTACACTGGAAAGTCTTGGAAGACCAAACAGCTACGCCAAAAAAAGGATCATCTATATTGTGCTGTTACTCAGTGTTAATGAATAAAATGACTATAAAATTCACCTTTTTGGGCAGCTGGAAAAAAATTAACCATATTATCCTATAAACACATTGTGAATTATCATACTGTTAATAACAATGTCTTTATATATAAATCCTAAAGGCAGGATCCCTAAAAACGTGTTAGCAACGGCTTAACAAAAAGGTAAATATCATTACCTAATAGCGGCTATCCCATGTCCAATTTCATGTACAACACCACTTATGAGAACTGCAGCGAAGAAATAGGTGAGTTGGTTGACGGGTAAGTTTATGCCAGGAACCTGTTGATAACACAATGACAAATACACAGTTGGATGTCAGGAGACCACTATGCTTACTCTGCAGAGTAGAGTTTAAAGCTTAAACTTCTAAACCGAGTGTAACAGTAGTATATCAGTAGTTCACTTCTCCATTTCTATCATAATGAGTAAAAAAAAAAATACCAGTCAAATTTCTGAACAAAGCATAACAACAATGGAAAGAGAACAGGAAACAAACAGGGCAATAACAACAGACAAAAGAACAGGAAATACCAGGTTAAAGACAAAACTTTAGTAAACAGAGCAACCCCAGAAACATGGCACTGGAAGCTTGATTCTGAATTCTTGTCACAATTCTTAGTCCTTCCTCTGAACAGTTATTGCAAGGTTCCAAGTAGTTATGCAAAGTAATACAGCATAACTCCCTGGCCCATCAGTGAGTTTTACTTTAACGTTCTCATATTATACTGTGATCAGAAAACCAAGGATTGGTGATTAAAGTAGTGTACTAAAAGCACCTTGCTGGTACAGGTGCAACATGCCTTCATTTCTTCTATCCATCAGTTTGGCCAATACATCAGTAAGAAAAACAGTATCCGGGCCCTCCCTGGTGGCCCAATGGGTTAAAGCACAGTACTATGAAGCTACTGCAGGCACTGCAGCATGAGTTCGATCCCTGGCAAGGGAGGTGACCTAGATGGTGTGGCAGACCTCTCCCCTGCACAGTGTATTTCAGTCCATCTGCCTGTTCTCTCTCTCTGGTGAATCCTCTCACTGCCCACACTCTGGCCTGTACTCAGTCCTGTGTGCATAAATAAATCTTTAAAAAAAAAAAAAAAAGAAAAATATCAAAGGTATATATAAATATATTACAACTGAAATTGAATGTAGAAGTAAGGCGTGTGGGCAGAGACATGTTAAAGGCCTATGAAGCAGCAGGAGTTGTCTCGCAATCACATGCCCCTAAGATGTGCCTGTATATGTCACCACACATACAAGGGGAGCTTGCTACTGCAAGGGCTGCACAGTGGTATTTTAAGATACCCAAGGATCTTATGCGATGCTCTCTCCCCAGTTACTTCCTCTGTTAAGGAGGGATTCTATAAATTAGGCTGAGGGGGGCACACCAGGCATTTATAATACCATTTACATACTATGTATGTATTTCTCAAAGCCCTAAAGATATACTTCTAGAGAAAATTCCTTCCTTTTTTTATTATTATTTTAAATTAATTGTAAAATGTGTCTAAAGCAGAAAAGCTGGATGACTCAGAAAAATGGAAGCCTTACTCATCCTAAAACACAAAATAACAGAGGTCACAATGTTTTATGCCTGTCCTTCCAGTCTTCCTGTGTACATTAAAAACATTTTTTTATTACAATTTTGAAACTTCCCTCTTTAATAGTTACCATATTTTCCCATGAGCTTTTTCTGATTCAATATTATTTTCAATATCTATATTATATTATATATTATATGGAATATACTGGGCATTTGTTTTAAAGATTTCTGTATTTACAAATACTGTGATAAATGTACTTGCATACACAAAGCCAAATAATTTCTTAGACAAGCATGGCTTTGGAGACAGATCACTAAAGTTTGAAGTTGTGGCCCTTTCACTAACTAGCTAAGTGATCTCCAGGAGGTTCAGATTATTTCCCTAACACTTCAATTTCCTCATCATTAAAATGGACACAACCACACTTACATAAAAGGGTAATTTTGAGAATTACAGGAGATAATCCTTGTCTAATTTTTAATGTCATGTCTCACAGAGAGGGTTACAAATGCTATTATTATTACATAAAATCTAAAGGACTCTGATACATATCAAACTATTCTTCCAAAGCAGACCTTTCCATAATGAGGCAAGCGCATTTTATTCAAATGTGCAATTTGAGGGGTCTCCCTGGTGGTGCAGGGGTTAAAGTCTGAGCACTATGAAGCTATTACCAGCCAGCCACTGCAACATGAGATGATCCCTGGCCAGGGAGCTGACCCACAAGGTGCAGCAGACCTCTCCTCTCTCGCTGTTGCTCCCCTCAGCAGTGTATTTCAGTTGATCAACCTGTTCTGCTTCCCACTGTCTCTGGTGAGTCCTCTTACTATCCCCACACCCCTGGCCTATACCCCATGCTTGTATGCATAAATAAATAAAAATAAATCATTAAAAAAAAAAAAACCCAAAAGACAAATACACAAGTTGAGCGACATACAAAGCATCACATGGTTTGATCTGTATGTCTTTGATCATTATTAAAGCTGAACTTTCTCCCTTCTTTTGATCATTGATAGGCCTCATGAAGAGTCTACTCAAAACTTACCTATTTTTTCTCTTAGATTTCATCTTTTGCCTGTTAATCTGTAAAATCACCTTAAATAGCAGTTGTCGGTAATACGTATCATAGATGTTATCCCTGGTTTCTGCCTGTTACTCCCCACTCCATGTTGTCAGCAATCTGTCTGTTCAGAGCAGTAATTCCCCTTTCTCTTACCCCTCTCTAAATTTACATACTTAAGGTGAATTCTTATGTCTTTATCTTATGGCACAAAATATCTTGGTTGCTGGCCCTCCCTGGTGGCGCAGCGGGTTAAAGCACAGCACTGAGAATCTAAAGCCGCTTCCTCATGAGTTCGATTCCCGCCTGCCCCGGAGGT